CAGTCTGAAGATGACAGACATTCATCAGGTTAAGTGATGGTGTCATACCATGACAGTCTGGCCTGTCAGTGACAGTACTAGGTCTGCTGTCATTTAGACGCTGCTAAATTTTGTAACCCCGCATCTGATATTTGGTGACCTGCAGGTACTTGACGGAAGAGGATCTGGAGCATCGCCTGGAAGTTATGTTGTCCCGGCGCGCCGTGGCCATGGCCCACGCTCAGCAACACGGGCGTGTGGACTGTGTGGGGGCCAGCAAGGGCCTGTTCTTTGGGTTGCTGCTTTTGGTGGGATCCCTGATTTGCTTGATCCTGTTCTTCGTGTTGATACACCACCCTGAGCTCGGGACGCTCGCCATCTACTTGGCTGATGTGTCCCACTGTGTCCTCATGGCCCTCAGCATTATGGCCATCATTGTGGGTTTCATTCGGTGAGTCAACAGCTGTAGCTACGTGCCATCATGAGGCGACAGACGGCCTATCATCTCAGATACTGATTTGAGATGGCAAGGCAGGTGGAGTCCAGTGAATGCCTTGTGGATGGTTTTCCTTTGCGTATTATGAGATGGTATTGCCATCTTTGCAGAGCAGAGTAACAATTATTACAGCATTCATCTCATAGAATGACTAAATAATTACTTTATTTTTCCTTTGTAAAGTGATATTTTGTTGCCCCCCCCTTTCCAAATTTCTGATTATAGTTTACAAACTATCTCGTTTCACAGATATTATGTAGTATTGGTAGCAAAATAAGAACCAAAATATTTATGGGATTTTAAGGCAAAGAGGAAACCAGACATAGTTTGTTCATATGCTTTATAATATTTTGAGAGCATTAAAATGATTTGACACTTATTTTGTATACTGGTGTTTGCAAAGTGGTTTATCTTTCTCTTAGGGAATGAAGCAATTAAGTATCAGGACCTAAATTATAAAACAAGAAACGTTATGATTTATACTTTTTGTCCCAAAATATTGTAAGGTATTAATTTCAACGGGGTTAATTGGGCTGAACATGAAGCGTCTGTTAAACTGGCTGCTTGGAAGAAAAAGTTAACATGAGCATATATTAACCTTTCCAAAGTCTGCATTTTGATGTTAAATAACTTGCATTATTGTACAATTGGCTGTCAGTCAAAAAGAAAAATTTCTGCCTCTCTCCTTCGACACATACTGGAGTGGTAATCGCAGTAATTAATGCAGACATGTTTTGATTAAATTTGTAACTGTTAGTTTGAACTCTTCGCCAGCACTAATTATTCCTTGAAAGTACAATAATTAAATTGTTTGTATGTCTAACTGTATTGTCTGATGCGTGGTAGAGACATGGGTATTGATGTTCTTAGTTGTAACACTTTGTGGCTGAAGCCCCTGAAGATGGATACATTACGTTTCTCCAAAACATTGACATGTGGTTACAAGTCCACATGGCATTACAATGCTGGCATTTCCACTATCGTGTGAAACTAAAATTTTATGGACACGATGGTTAATTTGTATTTTAATGGCTGTCTTCAGGGTTGTAGCATCACGTAGTCTTGTAGGAACTGGACCTCTGAAATGTTGGTAAACTTCTACCAAAAATTCTCAGTGCTTCAACCTAAAAACAACTATTTTCATTCTCACCACCTTGTGGACCAAAAAACATACAATTTGTATTTTGACTAATAAGTTTCTTACATATAATTTTGAGAAACTCCATAAAAGACACAAATAGTTGCGAACTAAATGTAAAAGGGTAAGCCGTGCTGGTCGTTTTGCAGCGCACTGCAAACTCTTCACTTGCTCAGTGAATGCAGGCTCTGTTATACGATACAGAGGTTGATTCCTGTGTTTGTGTTTCTGTGAACTGACAGGGTCCAGAGCCTCAAGTTCCGTGCAGAGGAGCAGAGTGACCTGAATGACATCCTGCTGCGTGTGTCGGCATTTGGCTTGTTTGTGTACGCGGTGTTCAGCGTGATCGCTGGGTCCCTTGCGTTCACTCATGAACCTAACCTCCTGGTAATGATCACTGGCCTCCTCTCCGTTGTGCAGGTAAGAGCTGTCTCTGTCACTATGACGCAGGACGTGTAATAACCACACTGTTCTGTCGTGTGTCTGTCATCATGAAACAGTGGCTGGGTGGCTTGTTGAATTTGATTCAGGACATGTACATAACAACTTGGTGTGAAAATCTCAGATCTTACAACTTGGTAATCATTGTCAGTGTTGCCAACAGATAAAGGTAACAAAGAAACAATGTTACCGCTTCATTTGATCCTGATTAAGACTCGCAGGTTGCAGTTGTTCTTGAGGATATGGATCATTAAAAATAATCATGTCTTATATTTCTCCGGTGGCAAAACTTGGTGGGACTGGGGCTAAACTTCCTCATGCCAGGGCTGTCCCTAGTAGGGCTGCCAACAGTGGCCCTGCAATTAAACATCACAGAATAAGTAATATTTCTCTTCTGCAATATCCTAACTTTGAGGGTGCAAAAATTATATATTGGTTGAAACTGTATGTGTATTGAATTCCAGTTCTTGAGTCGATTTGTGTTAAATTTCAATCACTTCTGGTCCTACTGTGTGACTTTTTGTTAATGTTCATTACTAATAATCTCAATAGCCATAAACTTTGACAATCTGCGTGTGCAGTTTGACACAGTAATTGTAAAATACAATACTTTTTCCAGTATAGTTACCAAATTATTCTAGTAACAACACGCTGTGGTTCGTATGGCAATGTGGCGACTTCTGTCATATAACAAAATGAACTAGTAAACAGAAGTATGATCTTGGTCTGTTAAAAGTAGATTTTTCTACCTCACATAAGAGACCCGACAATTAAAGTAAGTAGGTTTTAGGTATGGGTGGGGTGGGTACCATAACCAAGAATGCAGAAACTCTCTTGCAGGCTAGCAAGGAAATAGGCCTAGAAGTAAATGTAGGTGAAACTAGATACATGGGCGTAATACGGGATGATAATACATAACTCATAATTTGAAAGTGTTTAAGAATTTAAATATCGGGGAACAACTATAACAAATAGAAATGAGGTTCATGATGAAATTAAGGTTAGAATTCATTCGGGGAACGCTTGTTTTTATGCAGTTCAGAAATTTTTATCATCTCGTTTACTATCCACAACACAAGATCAGGATATGTAAAACAATAATTTTACCTGTTGTATTTTATGGCTGTCTCTTACCTTGAAGGAAGAACGTAGATGACAAGTGTTTGAAAACAGTCTGCGCTGGAGGATATTTGGACCTAGACGGGATGAAATAAGTGGGGAATTTAGAATATTACATAATGAGGAACTGCGTGAATTGTAGGGTCACCTAGCATAGTGAGGGTAGTGACATCTAGGAGGCTCTGATGGGCTGGACATGTAGCACACATGGGGGGAGGCAATGGGTGCATACAGAATTTTTGTTGGAAATCCTTTTGGTAAACAAGAAGGAGATGGGAGGTTAACATCAAGATGCATCTTAGGGAGGTGGGCTGTGAGGAAGGCAAATGGATGGAGTTGGCTCAGGATTGTGGACAGTGGCAGGCTTTGGTGTTGTCTGTGTTGAACCTGCGGGTTCTTCTACCAGGGAGTTTAGTTGGGCTTTAGGTATTTTATGTTTTAAATGGCAGTTATTCTATTTTTCAGTCACATATTGACACTGTTTTTCCAAGGGTCAGTAATTAACAGTGGGAAAAAACTTACTAATATGGGTATCTAAAGACATAAAGATGTATGACGGTGTGTAGCAATTGTGCGCAGACTTTAGAGTGTGATCCATGTGAATCAGTTAAGACTTTGGACATTTACTTTAACATTGCAGAGAACTGGAACGCTGTGATATGACATTTGAAGTTTGAGTAAGTGTGTGCATGCCACAACCATGACATGCAGAAGCAGACACGAGGGGCAAAAAGTAGGTGATAGTGAGAAGTATTAAGGGTACAGGGGAAAATGGAGCATTGATGGATTGTGCCAATACTTGGGAAGGTGGAAATGCAACAGTTGGCACAAACAAATAATTCTGCGGCCATGTCTGGTGCTAGTACAAAGGGTTTGAAGTTCAAGTGCGTACCCGGAGGTGCCAAAACGTAAGAAATGCAACTGAAAATTTCATAAATGTCAAAAGTCGGTCTACAGAACGTCATAAATTTGAATTGGAAGTAAATTTACTTAAAATGATTGAAACTGAAAAGAATGTCAACACCACAAAACCTGCTATTGAGGTTGTACTCCTTTGTGGCCATCAGTGAGGTCACATAGACAGGAGGCCTCTGAATGTTCTGAAGTAACTGGTAGTCAATAGTGGTAATATTCATTCTTTGCTGTGTTGTCGTGTTAGAAGCTTTACTGATCTGCGTGCAGAATGGATCCAGGAATGAAAATATAGCAGCCTGTAACTCAGTACTTTCAAAATGAGCTTCTAGTCCTGGTGTATCCCACTGTTTCTTGGTAAGTCTGTTAGCTGATGAAACAATGGATATATTTCCAGTGAAGCACTTTAGTACTGATGTTATGTATATTTATGAAGAAAATTTTAGGACTGGTCTTATGGGTCAAGGTTTAGCAGAGACTTCATTAGACTACCTTGAGATATATGGCTTAAAAAGTACATTCGTATGATGACAAAGCTATTTAAAGGTCATGGCAAGCTTAATGATGTATTGATATACATTATGAAGAACCACCTAATTGCAGTTCATTGTGGGCTCCTATAGTTTGATTTTTGCCACCAGCAAAGTTTGTTCATTTGCTTCCACCTGGAAGTGTTCAGAAGTCATTAATAATATTTCTGAGAAATCATTCTTCTCTACCTGTTACAAGTATAAGCAAACAATCATTTTCAACATTTTCATCTTGGAACTGTTCAAGGAGTATTAATGAATATGAAATATAATTGTTAATTGTGGTCTTCTGGGTGGTTGCCATAATTTTTGGGAAATATGTTGCCTGCAACTTTGCCCTGAAGATTGGGGAAAATGTTGGAAACCACATGCAAGACCCTCATGGTGTCACAACGCAGAACACCAAAATAAACATCTTTATCACTGTGAGAATCTGCGTCTCAGATAAAATATTAATGCGTTTAGAAGGGTTGTCCTTGTGTGTTCTTGAAGCTAGGGAGCTGAATTTGTCTACACTCAAAAATACTGAAAATATTGCAGTGCGCAATAAATGCTCAATTGGTTCTGCGCAGGTGGTCTTGCAGCTGCTCTTCATTGCTGATGTGGGCCGTCGCCGCGTCCACCTGCCAGAGCATGACCGCAGCAAGCCAGGGCGCCAGGTGGTGACCTTTTTGCTCATCTGCAATGTTACTATGTGGGTGATCTACACGTTTGAGGCGCAGAAGGTCATTGCCAACCCAGTCCAGGTGTGTGGGGAATTTATTTTAAAACTGTGCTACTTCTGGATCTTACTTGTAAATTCCACTTTTTCATAAAGGGTTGTTGCAGCAAGTAATCTGGAAGTAGAAGTTTACTAGTGTTTCAGAAATGCTTGTTGCCTCCATTATCAGGTGATGATTGGGCTTCAGATCTCTGAACATATTTATTAAGTGTTGATGAATCATCAGACTGATGATAGAGGTAATGAGAACCTCTGAAATTTTGGTAACCTTCTACCAGACTACACGGCACAATAACCGGGAAGGTGGCCTTCTTCATATTTGCTGCTGTGAGAACCTGAAATCTTACTTCCCTTTTTAAATTTCAATACTGAACCTAAGTCTACAGGATCCAAAATGACTATTTTATTTCACCATTTCTCAAATGAAAAATTAAAAGTAACAGTTTGCAGCAATCAAAGAGTGTGTGCTCGAAAATGAAGGCTTTGTCTCTTTAGTAATGTCATGCAGCCTACTCATGCACATTAATTTAAAGTCTCCACAGCTGGAAATTTATTCTCATTTGTCCTGATGAAACGCTTGAACTGTAGCTGCCTCTTATGTTAGGAGTCAAATGGAATGCTTATACTGCCGTGATTCAGTTGCCAGAACCTTGTCTGTGGGAGCATTTCATAAAAAAAAGATTAAGAGGGACTTTATTTTGTGCCTTGACTCGTTGTCTCTGTGATTTCAGTTGGATTTCTATGGGTTTCTGGCCTGGGTGATCGTTCAGCGCGTCACATTGCCACTCTGCATCTTCCACCGGTTCCACTCAGCTGTGACGCTGGCAGAGATATGGAAGACCAGCTACAAGGCCCGCCTGGAGTAGCATGGACATCACTGATCATTCAGTTGTTTGTTTGTTTGTCATAACAACTATCTCATATACTGAAAGACAGAACTTCATCATCATTTTCCTTTAAGTTCAATGTTATATAAGATAGGTTTAATTGATCACGAAGTTTTGATGTCTTTCTAAGGGTAAATTATGTGTTGAGTGTGCTGTGCCGGACTGGCACCATGGTACTGTGAATAGAGTTGTGTCCAGTGATGCAGGCTGCTTCACTCCATCATGATACACAATGCAGTAGATCCGAGTTATTCTCATGTGTTCTTTTTTCCGACTACCTGACATATTGCTTGTTGAAAGACACAATTACATTTTTGCTCCCAGAGTACCTAATATATTGAGAGACAGAGGCAACTCATAGACAGTGCATTTTTACTAGTATTTAATATTAATAAGAATATTTATTATAATTACTAATTTTGGCAGCTCTGAGTGATGTGCGAGAGTGGGTAGCCATCTGTATTAGTGATGGTGTGTGTAGACTGTGTCTGTAACTACAGAGAGATTGCAGCAGGAGAATTTGCCAAATTAAGTCACAGATTTTCAGAATTTTACGCTGTGTTCCTCAAAATCAGATCTCTAAGACGGATGTCAGCAAGATTCTGAGATGAGTTGTGATACAAAGCTTGCTAAGTTAAAGTCCACCTTCAACCCATCCACTTGCCGTTTTTAGCTCTCATTTTTTATGAATTTCCATTTATTTTAAGTTTCTTAATGTAAACTTAATTATGCTCCTATGCCCTAAATTTGTTAAAGATATTACAAAATAACATTGTTTCTTTGCATGTTTGACCTAAGATTTCTTTTCTATCTTAGGAAGAAGAAGTCGTCCTCACTGGTCTAGTGGTAGCATGCTTGCTGCTTGACCCAAGGTTTGTGGGTTCAAACCCGGTCGAGGTTGATGGATTTGTAAGGGTGATAAAAATCCATAGCATGACTTCCTTCGGAGGGGAAGTAAAGCCAGTGGTCCCATGTCAGATTTACAGCACGTAAGAGAACCTTACGAGAACGAGATGTTTCATAAGCAAAATTCAGCAGCCATTTGTCGCTCATGTCTCTGGTAGAGGCCTTGCGATGGGCTGATCACTCGTCCAAGAAGTCCCTACCAAATGTCTAAAAATAGATCAGAAACCTCCCAAAGGAGGAAGTTTCTTATGCTCCACTTAGGAGAGAAAAAGGCAGAAGAAGAAGAAGAGGGTGGAAAAATAAATCTTATGCTGCAGTTGTGTCTATTTGCCCAAACACTTATTAGGTGACATAATGATGAAAATTGGAATGCAGATGTGTACTATAACTCTCTGCATATTGCATTATTTTCATATGATGTATTTTTTTGTGTTTTTTTTTATCTAGGGTATTTATGAACACTAAATGCAAATTTGGTATTCATTTAAATTAGAAATGATAATCTTTGAAGAACTAGTACCAGCACTCTCCCTAATACTTATACACTAGCATTATTTACATTTAAATCTACTATTTCTGAAATATTTCTGCTATTGTCACTTGAACTGGAATTTCCACTAGTATCGTCACATCCTTCGCTGTCTTCATTTGATAAACTAACGCCTTCATTTACACTATCATTGTCAAGTCCTCAATGTAAAATATCTCTGCATCTCGCTTTTACTTTTGTTGCCATGCAGGTTTGTTAACCTTCCCTCAAGATGAAATTCTTTGTGTCATAGATCAAATGGAATTCTGATGTCTATAGACTGCGTTACATGCCATGTTTTGACTACAGTTAAATTCTTTGGTGGTTATGACTGATAAATCAGAGCTGTCTTAAGAAAAGATGGGTAACTCAAGCATGTGTTTTGGAATTCCATCTCAGTGACAGCTGAGTAAGTTGATGGGTCAACAGAGCAGGATTGGTTACTGCTGTTCATCGCTTGGTATTGGTGTCTTCTTATGAATTAACTCCGTAAAGTTAAAGGTTTTCTATCATTTTGTGGAACACTTTGTTCATACATATACAAGAAGAGTTTCTTTAGTTGGATTTTAAATTTATTTAAACATTGGTAACTATAGTACAAAAAGATGGAAACATAGAAATATGCTGTAGAATTTTTAAATATACAGAATGTTGCCAATTGTACATTGATAGCCCATTTGTTGTGAGTCAGTGTGTTCGTTGTATAAAGAATGATTATATATATATATATATATATATATGTTTGTATGTGGGTCCATTTTCTGTGTACATTTTGAGAACATTGTCTCCTAGATATCTGAGGCAAGATTTTCAACGATTGACCAAGAAAACTTATTACATTACTGTTGTTTATTTAACAGTTTCACTGCCGTGCTATTACTCTACTGCTACTTTTCAAAAATTGAATGTGATTCATAACAACACTTAAACTCCGCTAGCATATATTAGCAACATGATTTCCCATTCACTAAGTGATGGATACAGGGGGCTGCTCCCTACTAGGTGTCGGATGTGAGGGGAAAACCATAAATTAAAGCAGTGTCACATTTCTTCTAGACATTTTTTAAATCTGAAACACTTCTAGTACTTTCAACCGACTGAAATATTTTATGAGTTCTGTGGGGTTGCATATGAATTGGGGAGGAGGGTAATGGTGACCATCTCAGAGTATGCTCTTATTTTGATGCTGGTACAATGTGGCATAGGCTGGTCCTGTATGAGGTCATCTCCAAATTTAACTGCTCAGTTCTAGGTGTGAAGAAGCGCACAACGTAGTCACATTGCTCACAGTATGCCCCATTTATCTCTCACTGTGTGAACTACGAAACTAATTATGTCGCATCATGTTTCAATTTGTGCATTATGTTTTTCTTTTCAAACGAAAAAAAAAATTGAAGTGATTCTTTGTGTATGTAAGACTTTGAAGTTATTTTATTTAGTTTGGTGGGTCAGATTAATCTTTGTTGCTCCCATTTCCAGCTGTTTTTTTTTAAATTAGTTAACTGGTATAATTAAATCTTACTGCTGTGACAGTGTTAAGTTATTTTTAGATTTATCATCACTGGGGAGATAATGCAAAGATTGGCCACCATGTGAACAGTACAGGTGGTATAAGATTGGATCCCCTTCCACTTCTATAGAACTTCGTATTTTTCTCATCATTAATGTGGTGTGTGTGTCTTATGTACCTCACTGTGAAATCCCATGGGTGCGGAATTACATACATTCTTGTTTAACCAGACATTAGAGCTTGTTCTGTTTCCAATCATCACCAAAATAGAACTGAATTTAACATTGTTTTTTACTTTTTATAAAATGACATGTATTTTCTGTAAACTTCCAGTTTCTTTCATACAGATTTTGTACAAAAACTTCACTGCATATAAGTACTATATACATGTGCCAGAATAAAGTTATTATTAGATGTGCCTTGTGCTCATTCTTATTTGTGAATTTCCTGCCAACAGGCCAGACGCAACCTCTGGGTCACTCGTTATAAACTGGAAAAGAACGAGAACATTAAGTTATGTAGTATCTGAACAAATGACTGCAGAGATAACAAAGTTTTTAGGTTGAAACTACAGAATTCTGTTTCTGCATTTGGTAAATGTGAATAGATTGTATGTTGTTTCATGAGAGAAATGCATGAAGGTGTTTATGGAAAATAGCACATTCTCATTGACTTGGCTGAGTATTATCCGTTCAGCAGAATATCAACATTTTCATCTTTGTCCCTGTTCTTTAAACTTTTAAATTCATTCAGGATACGTAGATCCCATTAAATAACGTATGGTTTTGGCCGAACGAGGATATGTTGTCCTGCTACATCATGATATTGATAAAAATTGTATACATCCAAACTGTCACCACCAAGTAGTTGTAAAATGTTTCCAACACTTAGTAGATTGTCTGAGATTAATTTGGAATTGAACCGCCTAGTTTAAGATGTAGGTTTTCTTACTGGCTTCCCCCAAAGTACCGAAGAAATCTGTCAAATGTGGATAGTATCTTTGATCGTGCTTCATCTGTCATATAAGAAAGTGTATTTTCTGCATAGTGACATCAGTGAACTTGGAAGAATTGGGAAGGAAGTGCTCATGGCTTATTTTAAGGTATTGCCCAATAATTCTCTTGGCGTGACTGAAGGAAAATCCTCACTCATGGTAATCTGTCCTGTGGTCGAGATACAAACAGGATACCACCCATATACAAGTAAGAATCATTACGAGTTAATAATATCAACTGCACAAACTGTTTAATGTCATATTATAGAGTTCATTAAACAGTAAGCAAAGACAACATTATATTAAGACAAAATATACGCATCCAAATTAAAGTTAAAAGGAAAATCTCAGTACGGTGTACAATCTGTGAGGAAATTCCAAAATTAGTAAATATCATAAAGTTAGGTTAGGATAGTTACTGTAATGGAAATCAACACTAGTGATCCACAATAGTTTCGTCTATGTATGGCGTTAAACTAGGCAGAAGAACGTATAGAATTTTGTATGGAGTTGAGACTTGTAACATTCCTTAATAAATGTTATAATATTGGGCTGTATTCTAATAATTACCAGAATGGAAAGCCTTGACCAATTTTCTGTCAAGAAACGTTATCACATGAATTCCGATCTACTAAGGAAATTCTGGGAAACCAGATCACTAGCATGAGATGCATAATAATTGGCTGGAAGGATCGTAATTAAATGAATAATAAAGAGAAGAAATGTCACGTTAAGATAGGTTATGTTGCGTTGCATTACTTTAAGTTAGGAATTGACTTGATCCATCATTTCACTTCGAGCTGCCATAGGTATGTGATCATTACACATAAAGAATGCAAATCATTAATTATAAATTACTACTGAACACTACACACTCTTACCCATATAAGGGGCTGATGCTATGTAGGGCTCAGTAATATTGAATTTGAAGTTAACTTCAGAGTACATAGAAATCGTTGACGCGAAACATTAATCCGAGTTGGCAACAGTTTATACCATCATAAGTGTTGGCAGTCCTGGCAGTCTGTAAGCTGTAATGTGCAGGAAAGGTGCATGGTAAAATGTGTGACGAAGATAGGTTAAAGTTAAAAGCGCAAATTAATCAACAGAGTGATATTGTGCGAAAATTGAAAGCAGCCAAAGGAAGTAAAGATAAGGTGAGTACAGGTGATTTTTTGCATTTAATGAATTGTCTGATGTAATTTCGATTGGACCTTATGCTGCTGAACATCCGTTTCACTTTAATCAGTTTTTATAACATTTGTATAAATTTACAAATTATGTATGTTAAAATCTAGGAACTGATTTTGAGTCCGTTCCAGCACTATATATATATATATACTCAATATATATATATAGTTCTCCCAGGTGATTTCATCCCTTCAGTGGCTGGATATGGCCAGAGCTAAGGGCCAGTGTTAAAGGCAAACGGTTAGGGAGTCTGGAATGAGCTACGCCTAGAAATATATGTACATATACAGAGTAACATGACCAGGGAAATTTCTTGTTACTTTTGAGTTTCTTCTTCTTTCTCAGGTAACTAAAATCAGCATTCCGAATGCCATCTCTGTGAAGGATCTTACAATGCTAGACAATTTACTTGCCAACATTAGTTACATAGGAGGCTATGAACCTTCCTATGCTGATAAAGCCATGTATGATGTCCTTAGAGGGGTTGGTTGGCCTTCTAGTATGTCTCATCTTACACGATGGTATCAGCACATCAAAAGCTTTTCCCCAGTAGAGCTGGAGGCATTCCCAACAGGTGTACCAACTTGTAATAATCTGCCACCGCAAGTCGTAGGCCTTCTTTCAACTAATAATCATGGAATTGATATTGGCTGCAAGGTGAGAAATAGTTGTGTGTCTACAGCTGAACAGTATTCATTCCTGAGTCTAGAACACTCAGGAAAGTTGTGTTTTTACTTAACCCCCGAGACCTGTTGGGTTTGTGCATTAACTTTGTTGGTTTCTGTCAGTTTTTTGCAGGGGAGGGGGTATAGGTTAATTTATGCCAAATGCTTCCTTGCACTTAGGCATAGCAGTACTGCTTTTAGTGGTGCATCTGTTTTCTGTGAGGCCTTTGGACATGGTAATAGGTTGTAGCAATCACCAGCTTTAAGAAGCTGTACATCATCATCCCTTCTATGAGTCTGTGACTTCCAGTTCATATTGAAGAAAAATATATCAGTCTAATAGCTACAGCATTCATTTTCATCTTCATGTCAAGTGATTTATTCTTTGCATCAATCACATAAAATGAATGCATTATGACTCATCTGCTTGTTTCAGCTCTGAAATTACTTGAAGGAATGCATCATTTCTGATAAACTGTGAAAGTTGACAAGCCAGTTTAAATTTGGTAATTTTGGTCCATACTCAAATATGCAGAACTACATCAACTTTTATCTCATACACTAATTAGAGGAATTAAGAGCAGATTAAATTTGAGTACTGCTTGCTACAATTCAGTTCAGAACCTTTTGTCTTCTTGTCTGCTGTATAGAAACGTAATAATATTGCTTGTAGTTTTGTATGAGTGTCAGACTTGGTCTCCGACACTAAGGGAGGGACATGGACTGAGGGTGTTTGAGACCAGGGCGCTGAGGAGAATATTTGGACCTAAGGGGTATAAATTACTAGCAGAATGGATAAAATTGCATATTGAGGAGGTTCATAAGTTGTACTCATCACAAAATATAATGAGACTGATAAAGTCAAGGAGGGTGTGATGGACAGGGCATGTAGCCCGCATGGGAGAGAAAAGGAGGAATGCAAACAGGGTTTTTGTGGGCAAATCAGAAGGAAAGAGACCATTAGGAAGACCTAGACGTAGGATACTGGGAACGACAGTTCTTCAAGTGCCTGAGCACTGCAGGTCCCAACTTTTCATTGGCTCGATCTATAGACATTTGGTAGGACTCCTTGGACGAGGGATCGGCCCACTGTAAGGCCTCTACCCGTGCACAGGACAGCTTAACACAGAAAAAGACGGGCAAGCATCCATGGCTTCAGTGGGATTCGAACCCTATGGTCCCAGTGACCAAGCGGCACAAGGCCCACGCCTCAGACTGCGCAGTCACTGCAGACCCCCTCCTAGACGTAGGTGGGGGGATAATATTAAAATGGGTATTAAAGAAATAGGATGGGCTGATGTGGACTAGATTTAAGTGGCTGAGGATAGGGACCAGTGGTGGGCTCATGTGAGTACGGTGATGAACTTGGGGTTTCATAAAATGTTGGGAACTTCTTGGGTGGCTGTCGGCTTCTGAGGAAGGACTCAGCTCCACGGAGTAAGTAACTAGTATATGAAGCTCATTGAAGGTCATTGGGGGATGATTTATGTTGTATCTTAATCCCTTATACTTTCTTCCTTTCCTCCAGTATTTCATGCTGCTAACTTTGTCCCTCCTTTCTCCCATATTTCTTACCCATTCTTTTCAACTCACAGTAATGGTGAATATATATCAGCATTTCCATTATTTTCACATTTTCGTCACTGATATTATAAGTACATCTAATAGTGGCAGCACTTGTAAAATAGAATATTTTTTCAATTCACAAGAAAACTTTATATTAGCCACGCCATGTCAGTGTCTTCTGAGGTCTAGCCCACTTAAATATCTCCTCTGTGAGCATAAGCAAACATGAACACAAAATTGTCTTGTAGATAATGCTGTTTATTTAAATGTACAGCGTAGTCTACCTACTTAACAACATTTGAGGCAAATAGTTTATCATTTGAAGGTGAGGTCACATATTTCAATTTAAAAATATTTGTACTCCAAGTACCTGGTGATTGAATGAGTTCCCTATCAAAACTGTGTGCAATGTGGAAGATTCGTGGATTTTAGACAAATTATAAGATTGGATTTGAACTGACAATTGATAGTGACCTGTGACATGCTTTTGTTGTGATAAAGATTTTATTTCTGTTAGATGGGTTTTTGCTCATTTGCAATCCATATACTTTCAGTTACTAACACCATGAAATGCTTTTTATACACTGCGTTTTACTGCTGGACTGTACGTGTAACTTTACTACATTCATCTGTGAAAGACTTTGCAATGGTTTAAGTAATATTTTAAAACCACTATATGTTCTTCTGTGACTGATGTTTATAGTAGATTGCATTCTAACGGTGATTGCACTAATTGGAAACTATAAGACTGGACTCACCAGATTTAAACTGGAAACAAAGTGTGTGATATGTAATTGTTTGTACTCTGAATGTTTCATGAAGTATTCCGCTGACCACCGCCAGCTCTGCTGAGATTTTTTGTGGCATTTCACAGTTCTTGCAGGGCGAAACTGAAGAGAGTCACTTGTTTTTTTGTTTATATAATTGTACCTTTTGTTAATTCCATACTGTATTGTGAAATGATGGTGTAGTCATGAATTTGGAAAAATCTGGAAGAAGGTGGGCATGGGCTATTTAAAGTAAATCCATATGTTGTTGGCCTGGAGGACTGATTGAAGATAATATGTCATTTGGCTGAGATTCAGTCTGGGAACCTTCAGATCCTGAAGCCTCGGTGCTGCCGTTCCTCCTTCCTGTATTTTTCCTGCGTGGTTCCTACATCTCAATAAAGCCATAATTAATCACCACTTGAAGGGGGTGAAAATTGTAAAATTAAAAACAAACAAATATTGCAAGCACTAAATGAATAAGTTCCCAAAGTAGAAATGCTCTAGAATTACATCTGTAAGGTACCCAGTTCAAATCTCAGCTGGGTTACTGGCTACTCTGACACGCTTTGTACATTTTTGGCTATACCGTCTTCCTGATCCTTACCTACCGCCACCATTTATCATCATACTCCCATTTTGTTTGATTCTGTATAACCTCTTCAGTTGATAGCAGCATCATATTGTAATGTAAGAATCAGTAAATGCAGATAATTTGTTAAATGATGCTTTTTCTACAGCAAACTTGGAACATAGTGATTGGGTACATAGCAGTGTATATAGCCTTCTAAGACTTCAGACCATGAAAACTGCCAGTGATAAATTATGTTTGGACATTCCAGTCAGTAAAGTAGGGCTGGACAACACTATTTCTTTTCATTATGTCTGTGTCAAAACTGGCACAGCCTTCTCTTCAGTGTCATGGTGCTTAGACATCGGGGAGAACATTTAATGCATTTTCTTTATCGCTTAAAGCACGGCAGTTTGATTTGTTTTTTCTTCACAGTGCTTCTGCCTGTCTCAGTTGATCTTACTGACATTTTGTTACAATGGTTATTAGTCCTTTGTCTCCTTATTTTTGGAGATTGTGGGTTCAGATCTTGGCTCTGAAATAAGTGTGGTTTTCTTCAGTTCTGCCAGACGTATGCCGGGATAATATTCTACAACCACACCAACTCGCATCCATCGTAATTTGTATATTCATTAATTTCTCATTGTAGTCTCTGTAGGTGGTATGACAGTTTTTAAATTAAACTAAGAATCATGAATCTTGATGTGACACTGTTTAAGTATATTGAAGATAATTATGCTCTCATATTTGAATTTTCAAAATGATTATGAACTTCATCAGTAAGTGATTGGTTACAGGCTGGACTATCCCTGTAGTGGTTTTGGGTTTTGCTTTGAGAGCGTGCCCAGAGTAGTAACCAATTGGCACCATTTTCTTTTTGTATGAGGATAAAGTGGCCACAGTATTTAACCAATCACTCATCTTCTTATAATGCTGAGGTCTGAATGCTCATAGCTTTGTCATGTGGTGTTTAAGTACAGGAAAGTTTTTCTTTTCCTTTACTCATGCAGAATTTCTTTGTTGTTTTTGTCAGATGATTAGCTTTGTGGTCACACTTCACTTCACTTTACTTGGAACCACTGTGTATATCAGAATTTCTACGATCACTGCCCTCCCTTTCCAGATGGACTTTCACCTGGATTCTTATACAACTTCTAAATTGTGAAAGTGTGACTTTCTGAAGATTCTATGGCTGAGAAATTTTCTGATCACTGAACCAGAAGAGTGAAGCTAAGTGAGACCAGACAAAGATAACACGAAAGGCAATGTAATCTACATTGGAACTTCTTTTATTACATTCACAGTGGCAGTAGTCTATGCACTTCCCTGAGCACTTGATAATTAAACAACTGATGAAGAAAAGTCACAGGAGACCACCATTTAGGTCCATCCTGAGACATTTCATTCCTGTTCCTATCATATGTAAGCTGTCTCTTTTTTTAATGTTATTTCCCATCCGTTTCTTGGTGTACCAAGTGGCCTCTTTTTACGATGTCTCACAGGTTGAGAATGTCTCTTGTTGGTTTAAATGTTTACTCACTCACTCACTCTGTGGCGCAGGATCTTCTTTGAAAAGTCGATTGTAGCAAGCATTTCCAGAATTTAATCTCCTCCTAACTTCCTCATGAGTGTCATTTTTATTTGTTATTGTTGTTCCCAGATATTTGAACTTTGTAACCCTTTCAAAGGACTTATTAGCTACCCTAAGATAATTTTGCCCGCCTGTCGTCTGATGACGAGATACTAACATGTACTTCGTTTTTCTGAATTTACTTCTAGCCCCACCTGTCTACTAGCCTCTAGTAAAACTTCTGTGTTCCTCTTTATTGTATTTATGTCATCTCCCAATAAATTAACATCATCAGCAAATGCCAATAGCTGATGTGTCCCATTCAATTGCAAACCCTCCGCCTGTCCTGGACTTTCCTGATGGCATATTCTAGCGCAAAGTTAAATAGAAAGGGAGACAAAGCATCTCCTTGTTTCAGACCGTTCTTGATGGAAAATTACTCAGATAAATATTTACCTAATCGAATTTTGCTACAGGTTTCATTTAAGCACATTTTTATTAGACGCACTAGCTTCTTTGATATACCAAATTCAATAAGAATATTATATAACACTTTTCTATTCACAGAGTCATAGGCTTTTTTGAAATCTGTAAATAATTGATGTACGGTCCAACTGAACTCCCATTTTTTCTCTAGTATCTGACGAATGCAAAAGATCTGATCAATCGTTGATCTGTTTCGTCTGAACCCACACTGATGATCCCCAATAATTTCATTCGCATATGGGGTTAATCTTGCCAAAAGAATGTTGGATAGAATTTTGTATGA